TCATTGATAATATATAATATTTTCTAATGCTTATTTGCTGATTTAACTCACGTAAATATTACACTTTACCTATCAAGACACCAGCACATCGAACACCCCATTATTCACTAAACCGTAGTTCTTTTTGTATGAGTGTGAGGTGCAAATACACAAAACTAGTATCATTTGTAAACGCCAAAATCATTTTGTGTAATATGTTTGTGTTGTGTAATAAGCATTTTTGTGCGATTTGTATGATTTGTTAAATTTTAATTTGTTATTAATATATTTTTTAAAAATACAATAACATTATATACTTAAATATATATATATTTTTTCAATTGAATAAGTTTTAAATATATTTTATATAAAATTGTGTCATGCAATTAAATGCATTTAAACTTTATTGGTGCGCCACGTAGCGCTGGGTAGCCAAAAGCTAATGTCTGTTCTTATTCAAAATTTTTAAAAATAAACGAAAACTGTAATTTTTCTAATCATAATCCAATCATATATCTTTTTCACATAATTTTAATAATTTGTTTATATTTGATATAAGAAATTTAATTAGTATTTAAAGTATTCACATAATATAAACAATTTTTAAATTAATATAAAGTATTGATATATAAAATAAAATTGATAATACTATATAATAAATATATGACGAATATATAACAAATATATGTTAATATTTATATAATTTAATATAAATATATATAACAAAAGTTTTGAATAAAATTTTTTTAAATACAAAATTTATTATTAAATACAACTAAAAATTACGTTGAATATTTTTTTTCTAACCAAACAATTTATTACTTATTTCAGAAGTAGTTATAAGACCTATATATAGGTGAGGTTAGGTTGGAGTCGCTGTACGTGTTATTCCATATGGGATTTAGGTACATATATATAGCTTTAACATTAATTCATTAAAAATCAAAATTTAATCTAATGAGGTTTTTTTTTTTTTAAAGTAGTGAACTACAACAACAAAAATTCATTTTTATATTATTTTAATTAATTGAATTTTTGACTGACCATACAGCTGTTTCTAGTATTGCCAAATATCCATCATAAGTGGTCTAGGAAATAATTCTTGTATTTAATTATTCGTAAATAATTTTTTGAGACTGCAAGTACCAGAAATTGATCTCGTGTCCTGCCAAATTTGAAACTCAAAGTCAGAGTACCTTAACCTTAATTTAATATAATTTTTTGTAATACTTTGGTATAATTTGAAAAAAGTTAAATTGTAAATAATGCTTTTGTAAATTTTATCGTTTTATTATCGTACATTTTTAAAACTGTATATATATACACATACATATGTATTTATATAAACTATACATTTATATCATATTTCTATGCACCGTAGCATGATCTGAAAAGGTTCAAGTACTAAACCCGTTACTGCTTTATATTAAACAATTATAAGTAGTATTTTTTTATTTAAAAAAATTAATAAATTATATATTTATACCTCAATTATATTTCAAATATTGTAAATAATAGAAAATTATTAATATTGTTTAGAAGATTATTTGAAATTATCACATCCCCAGGTTTTGTCTCCGTGTTATTACAAAAGCTCATTATGTATACTCAAATGGTCTTTGGTGTACTCCAACCTATCGTAACCTAGGCCTTATGTCAACTTTGTATATAAGTTCATTTAGCAGAGATTTACATTCAGGATACTCAATTTCTAAAATTTATAATATTCAATTCAGCTGAGATACCGGCTTTGAGATACAAATATTTTTTTTATATAAAAGAAATTTTCCTGAAAATTAGAAAAGAAATAACTGAAAGTAGAACATACACAAATTTATATATTCTAAAACTTACGTACAAAATATGTATATATATGTACATATAGAAATAAAGTTATCGTGATGTGATTAATGTAATAATGTACTCACCTAACATGGAACCGTGTTACTTTTTTCTACACCCAAAGAGAAAATGCTCGAACACAATCAAGTCGATTGATTTCAAAAAATGTTAGATAGCTGTTAGGTGATAGAGTTAAAGGTCATACCTAAATCAATCTAATAGATTCTGTTAATGATTCATTTTATTTCGTATGATTTTGTATGTTTCATTCTATTATTCCTTATAATTTGTAATTTGAATGTATGTTATGGAAAGAACAAAAATGGAGGTAGCACCTATGCCGATAATTTACGTTTCCATTTAATTACTCGTAAAATGCATGATCTAGAGTAGAAAGGAGCAATTCAATCCTCGACTCTTTTGTCAAATTGGTGTACCCGAGTTATCGGAATTACGCAGTAATGTTTGATATTGTTTGTTGATATGTTTTCGCATCTATAAGATGTCTTGATGTTTTTAGGTCAGAATGCAAAAATTGGAACTGATAGTTTCTTAAAATTAAACTTAAAATTTATTTTTAATGTAATAAAAACTCATGATTATATGCATAAGTATTTAATAAATTTAAACGATTGTTTTTAATCAGACCATACTTACAAAAAATAGTTGGTAACTACATCAAGCGAAGATTATAACAAAAATTGAAATGAGTTAAGCTGATATAGAAATTAAAGATAAGAATAGACCCGGAAAAATATAATACAAGAATAACAAACAATGGTTTTCTTAATGGTATCACATACTGAAACTTTCACTTCTTGAAGTGACAATGCATAGAGTTTTGTGCAGGTAAATAGTTGAACAGATTGATGACATCGTGTATATAGAGTTCCGTTATAGAGTACCGAAACTGAAAAGTTTATATTAAGGGTTTAGCTATACTTTAACCCCGACACGGTAGCAATTTTCAGAGCGATTTAACGACTATAATATGTTGATATTCCTGTGTTCTAGATATTCCGTGTTATAAGATTCACCCGAATAATATAAAAAATCGTGAACGGTCGGAAATCTGCACATAACATTATTTTGACAAGAATATTTAATGCCAGTCTTTAACTGCATAATGCATACATAGCATTTGGCATCCGTCACGTAAAATCATCCGCCATTGCTATAAGCTCTTTTTTTGAAAGATGCCTTGAAAGATGCTGATCTAACAAGAAATTCATTTTAATTTTGTTATTATAGTTGTTGAATAATCAATACATCTGGTACGTTTAACGAAAAGTGTGTATAAATACTATATGTATGTGTTGTTATTTCTAATTACTTTGAATATATTTTGAGCATTATATTGTGCAAACAATATTTATTAATATTATAATAATATTTATTATTCATTATTATTAAATAATAATGATATTTATTATTCATTATTATTAAATAATAATGATATTTATTATTCATTATTATAAATAATAATATATATTATTCGTTATTATTAAATAATAATAATATTTATTATTCATTATTATTAAATAATAATAATGTTTATCATTCATTATTATTAAATAATGATTAATTAATTAATTGTTATTACGAACAATTTATAAAAAGTTTTTTGATTGTTACCGGACTTTGGTCGTTTATTTAACATATAAAGTTATAAAAATATTTTTTTAAACAAAAAATTACACTTACTAATTTGTGTTCAATATTTTATATATATTTTAAATTTTTATTAAAAATTATTTTTATTACAGATATTTCGATCTATGTGAAGACTATCTTCATTGTAATTTTTTATAAAAATTTATATATAATTAAAATATTTAACATAAATTAATAAGTCTAATTTTTTGTTAAAAAAAACATTTTTCATAATTTAATGTGTTAAATAAACGACCCAAACCTGGTAGTAATCAAAAAACATTATTTACTGTTATTAAATAATAATAAATACATACTTTTTGTAAATTGGTCGTAACAACAATTAATTAAATAATAAATAACATTTTAATTATACAATATTTATTATTTCTTATTTAATAATAATGACTAATAAATATTATTATTATTTAATAATAATGAAAACAGCATTATTTATTATTATTAAATAATAATTTATAAATATTGTATAATTAAAATATTATTTATACAATACTTCTTTTTGTGTTTAAGAAAATTTTATTCTCCCTTATATATCCTAAACACACTAATTTCTTAATTATTTAAACAATATAATTTTTCCGGCTTTTTTTTTTATTTTATTTTTTTTTTTTTTGTAGTAAAATTTTATGTAATGGTATCATCGTTATAATTATAAAGTAGTATACATTAAATTACTCTTTAAAAATAATAACTTGTTATACTTAATTTCATAATTTCGCGTCTTGTGATTAATATATTTTATATAACTTTTTTGTAACCATTTTTTATGTTAAAAAAAAAATTTCATTAAGTATGAACTTAAAATTTTGCGTGATTGCTTTTCGAGTTTTTTCTTTTTGTCTTTAAATAAAAATGCAAATAAATATTACAAAGATAATTATTGAAACATGAAATAAAATAAAAAAACACATATATATAATTTACGTAATAATAAAATGCTTAACCTAAGAAATCCGTTAATAAAACTAAGAACAAATTATGATTCTTGTTGTTTCAGGGAGTATCGGATAACAGATCTGAATGAGTACAAATTTGTTGGAACGTTTACGAGTTAGTTAAGTGCATAGGCATTCGCATTGGTGTTCCTGTTAAGTGGAAGTATTTTTCTGGAGAGGGATTAAATTGCAGTTTTTTATTTCTTTTTTTTTACTTAGTATCTGTGTAAAAATATTTAGCAATTTTTTTATATTGTATATTAGTTTTATATAATTATACTTATCGTTATAGCTATTTTATATAATATTATTTTGTATTGTTCTCTTTTCTACGCTTTTATTTTTAACCTAATTTTTAATCTTGTTAAGTTGTGAGTGTGGTAATGGAAAGTTTAATTTTATAATGCAAAAGATTTAATTTTTTCTCGATGAAGGATTATTTCTAACTTAAATATTTTTTCTTCATGTTTTTCTCTCAAAGTTATGTGTGTATATAAATTTGACTTAATATTAGAGTTGAATGTATATTTAACTTCCATTGTATAAAGTGTCTTTTCGGCGCACTCTCTTTTATTCACTTCGGATTTTTTTCATTTCCGGTTGACTGTTACCATCGTCGATACCGTCACTACTGCAATGCAGTGACCGTTTTTGTATGATGCCTGCGCTGCTTAAGGTTGAATCGTTATCAGTATTGGTAGTTCCGTCGTTGAGGTTAATTATTGGTGTTACGGATTTATGTCCAAGACTGTTACTGTTGCTGCTTTCATCAACCATGCGGTCGTCGTCATCATCTTCTTCACTAGCATCTTCATTAGCAGAAGATCGTATACAGTTACTGTTTTCTCCATCTAAACTGTCACCTGTACCTGTTCCGTTACCATTTCCTAATGCCAAATTTTTACTTCCATTCTTTTTTACGGCATTTGGCAAAAGAGGTGCTACTATAGCTGCTCCTGTTACACCTGTGGTAGCATTAGTTTTTAAAGGTGCCTCTATATTACTTTCAGAGTCTGAGGCCAACGGTGTTCCATCATCAGTTGAAGTTGTGGCTGTCGTTTGAGTAGTATTCTCATCAATGGAATCATTAGAAACAAAATTGGAATCACCATCTTGCAATACAGTTCCAGTTGGATTTGTATTTTCATTATCTGTTTCAGATTCAGTTGCGATATTATTTATATCGCCTCGTCCTGTAGTTATAAATGAAAAAAATAGTATGTTATTAATTTTAAAGACTTAAACGATATCAAATAATAAAAGAAATAAGTGATTCAGTTGCGATATTATTTATATCACCTCATCCTGTAGTTACAAATGAAAAATGGTATTTTATCAAATTTTTAAGTTTTGAAATAAACATTAAAAATTTTTTTATTTTGAATAATAGCTAATATAATATATTTGTCAAAATGCTTGTAATAGAATCGAGAAGTCGGAGACTATACATATAGGTTATATTATATATACTCATGGCTAACACAAGTTATATCGTTTATAATGTCCGTCCATCTGTCGGTACCTCAATAAACTGGTTTCTTGCTCAGTGACTACACGATCAAGTTTTTGCCAAATTCTAACAGTTTTGCATTACCTTTTCAACTTGTACACATACATTTTTCAAACCTGACGCAATTATTTACTAAAAGGTTAAATGGAAAGCAATACAGATTAGAGGATTATTATTGAGAGGTATATGAAGTAACAACACAATTATGTATAGTATAAGGGCAAAGAGGTACATAAACCAATAGCCGCAAGTATTAAAGCAAAGATCGGCTTATAAATGTGTCAGCTGCCTGTTATAGCAGAGGCAAAATTTTGTGTATGTATACTGCAGAGTTGTTGGTTTTAATACTATTTTATTGTTGTTAAATTTTTAGGAAAATTAATTTAGATGTTCCTGAAATATTTCTGACCTCTAATATATTTCTACAACTCGTATTGAGTTATTGTAACTTTATTGAACATCAACATTAACAAAATTAATTTGTTTTATTTAAAACCTTATTGAACTTATAATAATTAATAAATGTTCGTATTTTTTGTCGCCTTGTATTTTTATAACACACTAATTTAAAAAATGTTTATATATATTTTTGCGAACTTCTGGATTAAATCAAAGACAAAACTAATTCGAATTACTTAACCTATACTATAGTCTGTACTAAGTGAACTTTAGTCAATATTTGCACACATTCTCATTTTTATACTATATATTTCGAAAATAATGTCTACATGCATTCGAACGAAAAAATCGTTCCAAAATCTAGCCAAGGTAGACGCCAAGTGACCGAAACTCAAACTTATGCATTACAAAATTTAAATTAAATGAGAATTACAATTAGAATACCACCACTACTTATACTAATAATTTAAATTGAGATTTATAAATATTTTAAA